AGCATCTGTGGTCATACTCAGAAAGCAGCAGACTCTATGGAGAGCTCTCCATGGAGAGTTGATAGCAAGACTAGCTATCTGCCCCATCCCTTACTATTTATATTCTTTACTAATTCTTCATAAAGGCCCGCAGTCATGCCAGAAACTATATTATGCCCTTTGTTGATGCGTTAGCTAGCTATTATATATTTTCTAGACTATACTAACAGGCAATTCAGGCTGACCTCTATTCTCACAACACACTTCCTGATTGCAGTCAGCAAGGGGAAATTCCAGCCTACACACTGGTCCCATCCTGCTGGGAATGTAAGTGCCTGGGCATGATACTATTTAAGTTATTCTGACTTGTTGTAGTCTGCACTACTCCAGGTTTACACATGTTCACTGAATACAACTACAAGAACCACAGATGATGCTGAGGCCCTGGGCCTGAGAGGATAAGCAGAGGAGCCAGGGTAGAAGTACATAATAGAAATGTCAATATATTCAGATTAATTAAAATAGCACTAAGTCTATGATTTTTCATACTCTAAGGTAATCTTAAAAGTAGACAAAATTTTATATTTATTCTAGTAGAGTGATCAACTATTTGTATTATGCTGTGTATTCTGGTAAATTTTCAGAACAACTGAGCAAAGATTCTGGATATATGAGACATCCATGATGGCCTGATTACTGATTTGCACTGACATTATAATGATTTAGGTTTATGTGTTTACTTCATTAGACTTAGTCTGTTATTTCATCATTGGTACATTTAGTGCTTGTTTATGATCTCTTCCTGGTCTTTCTAGTTCCTGTCAAAATCTGTAAATGCGCGGAAAGTGCAGTAACCTCAGTCTCCCGCTATATGGGATCAAAGACTCTATTAACTACCTGTAAATGCGCGGAAAGCGCAGTAACTAAGTACAGTAAGTATTTATATAAGTTAAGTAAGTAAAGTAACATACCCTCAGTCTCCCGCTATATGGGATCAAAGACTGAGGGGCAACGGAAAAAGGTGTCAGTATATATGTAAATGTAATGTACCTGCTGACACTCCCGGAACTCCCATGGAGATCATTATCACGGGCCGGAGCCGGGGCGGACCGCCATCAATTCCTGACACCCCCACTCGACCCAGGCCGTAGTCCCATAGCTAGACAGAATTTGTAGTGCTGAGCATGAGGTAGAGACTTGGTGAAAATATCTGCCACCATATCTTCTGTAGGATACCAAACAACTTCACACTCTCCATGACGGACCAAGTCATCTCAGACAAAACTATATTTTTGATTTATATGCTGTGTTCGAGCTCTATATTGAGGATCTTTGGAGAGAATGATAGCTGCACGATTATCACATCGTAGTTCAGTAGCTCCCTGTTGTGGTTGACCTATTTCTTCAAAGAATGATCTAAGCCATGCTAAATGTTGTCCAGCATTAGCAAGTCCAATAAACTCGCTTTCTGTGGAGGATAAAGCTACAAGACTTTGTCTTCGGCTTAACCACCCAATAGCTACTTTTGCAGAAAGAAATACATAGCCTGATGTTGACCTTGAAGTATCTCTGTCACCATTCCAGTCTGCATCTGAGTAGCCTATGAAGTTTAGATCCATGCCTATATCAGATCCATCATATGTCAGACCCCAATCTTTGGTAGTCTTCAGATATCTGAGAACTCTCTTGGCTGCCTCCCAGTGGCATGCTTTTGGATTTGCACTATAACGACCCAAAACTCCAGCAACATATGCCAAGTTAGGTCTGGTACCTAGCATTGCATACATGATAGACCCCACAATACTTTGATATGGCATAATTGGTCCATTTTGAACAAGCTGTTTCTTGTGGATTGTTTCATCATTTTCAGGATCTATAATAGACAATTGCTGTCTTGGAGCCATAGGTGTTTTGACACCATTTTGAGTATCCTGCATTCCATAGCGCTCTAAGACCTTGCTAATATACTGGGCTTGACTTAGACGGATCTGATGCTGTTTGCGATCTCTAGTAATTTCAATTCCTAGAAGATATCTGGCTGGACCTAAATCTCTCATTTTGAATGTAGATTTTAATGTCTCTTTGATCTGTGCCATAAACTCTTTGGTAGTTGTGGCTAGAAGTAGATCATCCACATAGACTAGTAGGAAACAAGTTTGTTTTCCTTTCTGATAGACATAGAGACAAGTCTCAGCATTAAGCCTATGAAATCCTAGTTTTAACAGTGCTGTATCAAGAGTATGATTCCAAGTACGTCCAGCTTGGTGTAGACCATAAACTGAACGTTTTAGAAGCCAGCAATATCCTTCAGGGAGATTTGCATCTTCTGGAGCTATCATATAGACTTGTTCCTGTAGTTCCCCATTCAAAAAAGCAGTAGAAACATCCATTTGATCTAGTTCAAGATCATATTTTGCTGCTAAGGCACAAAGGATTCTGATTGACTCTAAGTTTGCAGTTGGAGCAAAAACTTCCTTATAGTCAATACCTTCCTTCTGTAGATCACCTCTAGCAACAATACGGACTTTGAAACGAGTAATGTCCCCTTTCTCATCTGTTTTGATATTGGGAATAACCTTGGATTTTATTGGCTTGACTCCTTCAGGAATTTTTACCACTTCAATAACTCCATTTTCAATAAATGCAGAAATCTCTTCTTTAAATGCTGCTCTCCAATAGTCTTCATCTGGACCACTTCTAGCAGCCTCCCAATTTGGAGGATCACAAGGACTGCGAGTGGTATAAGCAACATCTTGCATATCTTCCAGAGTAGCTAAGAGGACAGCATGATCTGTGATATCAAAAAGAGCTTCTGGAATTTTATCTGCTTCTGAAGTTTGTACTGGCTCTAGATTTGGAGCTGAACGTAAACTTTGCGGACCTGAGGCAATCCGTTCACATTCAGCATTCTTATGTTTTGCAAGGACTTTAGGTCTATTGCTTCTCCTAGGAGCTATTTGCTCAGGAGGTATAACATTTGGCATCTGTGCTGGAATCTGTATAGGACCAGGGTTCTTATCTGGTGGTGGTGCTATAATAGAACCCCCCACTGAACTCTGTACTGGTGTAGATGGGAAAACAGGTATATCATCCTGATCATTGTCAAAATATGGTGTTTCCCTCTTACGCAATATCTGTGACATGCATTCAAGTTCATGTGTTGAATCATTCACAGGCTCCAGTTTAGGCTGATAATCAGTGAAATGATGATCATCATCAAACTTCACATGAGTGGCAGTGACAAGTTGTCCATAGGTTCCATCTTTATTGATAACTAAAAGATCATAGGCATTGCTGTTTTCATGGTAGCCAACAAATACACATCTTTGTGCTTTGTCCCCAAATTTCCTAGCCTGTTTTGCATCTGGAATTTTTGGATATGCTCTACAACCCCAACGGTGCAGTTGTTTGATATTCACAGGCCGATCATACAGTATTGTATGAGGAATGCGATAATTCTTAGAAGCAGTTGGGGTCCTGTTCAATGTGTAGGCAGTAGCTAACATGGCCCAAGTCCAAAATTTACGAGGTAACCTAGAATCAACTAGCATTGTTATAGCTCTAGTCACTAGAGTTTGATTCATTCTTTCAGCAACACTATTTTGTTCAGGTGTATATGGAGCTGTAGTTTCATGAATGATTCCCTGGTTTGTGAATTCAATTTCCATCTGATTAGAGGTAAATTCACCACCCCCATCAATACGAAAGAATCTAATCCAGCCAGGACAGAATTCCCAATTGGCAATATTTTGTTTGAAATGCTCTTCTGTGGTTTTTCTCCATTCCTTGAGTAACTTGTAGACTTTAGATTTCTTATCTGTAAGCAAAACCCAAGTATGTGATGAAAAATGATCAACAATGACAATCCAATATCTAATACCACCAGGACCTTCAGGTGTCACTGGACCTCCTACATCACATGAGACAATATCTAGAGGTCCACGAGCTACAGTTTGGCTGTTTGGTAAAGGCAACTTTTCATTTTCCCAATAACACAAGATTCACAAAGTTTAGGTTGACCTGTCAATATTGTGATTTCACCAAGTTGACCTTTCTGAACTGCCTTCTGCAGATGTTGCATATTTGTATGTCCAGAAATTCTGTGAAGGTGGTTGATATCAATAGCAAATAGTGCTTGAGGATCATCCTTGAGTGATTTACATTTTACATGATAAAGTCCACCATGAGTAGTAGCTTTAATCATGCGTTTTCCAGAGGCATCTCTGACAATACATTCATCACCTGTGAAAATACAGTCAAAGCCTTTCTTGGCCAGTTGTCTCACTGAGATGAGTGTGATTCCAAAAGTAGGAATATGTAGTGCTCTAAGAGAAACAAGAGTTTTTCCACGTTTGGTCTGGCATGAATGTTTCATAATGCCTACACCCCCAACCCCAGCGTACATCAGGCTGATGCTGAGTGGAAATGTCTAAGTAAGATCTCCAAAAAACCTCAAAACGATATATGGATAAGATCAATAGGATATTCCCGGCTTCCCATCACCCTGAGGTCAACCCTTCATCACTATGAGATCCTTGGTTAAATCTGTATGATACTTTGAAAAAACTTTACTATGACTTTGTGGTAAATATCATGAAAATGGGCATATACAATTAATTAAATAATAAAATGAAAATAATCATTTATCTTTTCTGGCGCTTCTTCTGTTGCCTTGGTGTAATTTTTTCTGGCCTGCCCCGCTTCTGACCAGCATGCTTGGGAATATACTCATCATCATCCTCTTCTGACTCGGACTCGGACTCGGACTCAGCATCATCTTCACCCGCGGACTTGCCATCCGACTCGACATCAACGAGTTGTGCATCATCCAAGTCTCCAAGTTGAGCACCCTGCACCACCTCCTCAGCTTGTCGAGCTTTGACAGCTGCCTCATGTGCCTTCTTTGCGGCCTCATCCGCCTTCTGCTTCTTTCGAGCAGCTGTCGCTCGCCGTTTCTCTGCGGTTTTTTCCCGTGCGGACAAACGGGCCGACCCTGCCTTGGCAGCCATCTCGGTGTGAAACTAGAGGCGGTCGGAGTGCTGCGGCTTCAGATTGTACAGGCTTCGTGGAAGGACCCGAGTAAGTTCTGCGAAATTGTGTACTGAACCCAAATTCAGCACAAAATTGTCATCGTCGACATGTTTGATCAGGCTAATGTCTCGCAGAGTGTCTTCTCGCTCTTGACGTTCCTTGGCCATAGCTGCCGGCTTGCAGTTGCCTCTCCGGCAGTCGTGCTGGACTGAGCAGCCAAATTCCACTGCTGTTCCTGGAATGACAACATATGAGGTAAGACCTTGCTCAGTAATCTCGTTTCCGGCTGGAGGTCGCACAACTGGCCAGTCGAAATCGGGATGACGTGTTTGTGTGCACACGAACTGCTGAAGACATATCCATGTTTGGCCACTGCCTCCCGAAATAATTTCCACAACTCGTCCCAGTGCTGTTGTGCCCCCTGCAATGCGCACAAATGCCCACCCATCAACTTTGACCTTGTCTCCCGTTTTCGAAGTTACCGAAAGGCCCTGCCGCCACGCACTGTTCAGAATTGGCTGACTCGGATGCTCTTGTGTCCAGTGCCGTGATGTGATGGTTTGCTGCCATGGTATTGGTGGAACGCATTTAAGCCCAGGAGACGAACGAAACCTGGCACCGGAGGATGGTGCGGTACCCAGCCAAGGTGACGCTGGAGAACAGGATCATCGAAGAGAAGTTTTTTCACTGTGTTGCCGGGTTCGGACCATCCACGAACCGCTTCGATAGCCAGTTGTTGATCTGAATCGTAGGCAGCGCTTGACTGCCAGAATCCACCGCAAACAGCATGCTTGATATTGTTCATGGCAGCAAACTTCATTGCAATATCACGGCTTGGTGCCTGGTTATTGCCTATTGCCGTTTATTGAACACATGCAAAAAACAGCATTGTAAGACTCCTGTGTTTCTGTCGAGAAGCGAACAGCGGGGCCAAAGCGTCGAATGTCGTCAGGAAGATGGGGAAGAAGATGGAGCTTGATTTTCGTCAGAATGCGAAGAGGCTCCACAGCATCCCACGCGTCGAGAAGGTTTGCAATTGCGATATTCAGCTCAGAAATATATTCCTCCATGTCATCGATGACCGATATCCAGACTCGCGCTCCAAGATCTGCTGCAAACTTGATAAGTTTGAACTGGTCCGGATTGCATATACCGTGGACATGGAAAACCAGGGACTGCATTATCGTTTTGTAATGTTTGCCGATGAGGTTATTTCGATACTGCATCATGTAAGCGCCACGAATTGGCGGTACATTCATACCACTGATATCTGTTGATCGAAGACGAATGGCTAATAGATGTCGCTCGTTGTCTGTCCATTTGTACGTGTTCAAATGATGCCAGATATATTTGATGACTCCGAGCAGGATGGTATGCAGAATTTCGACTGGTGTGTCTCGAGCTGGATCCAGGCCGACGATATCCAAGAGCGGATTGATTTTGTCGCCTGGTTGCTCTTCCAGCCAATGCTGGGCTGCTTCGGCGATCTTATCAACAGAACTCCCCGGACTTTCCGCCTTGAGTTGCGTTACCCGGTCGAGAGTTCATGCAATCCAATATTGAGTAAGTTTGTCTTTGGTTCCCGTCTCTTTCTGTCGGGTCTCTATTGCTGCAGAGCTCCCGCGCGTTGCCAGGGACAGCTGATGGCTCAACTCCGCCCGGATTTCGTCGGCTGTCCGAACGGGACCTGGTTCATGGCATGCATGATATACCGCAGGCTGGACTTGATTAATCTTCGAGCCACCCCACTTACACTTTCGACACGGAAAGGTGCCGTTGCATCCGATGTGGCTGGCCTCTTCTGACTGTTGTGGGTTGTCTGCATTCTTGTCATGAACGCGCACAATCACGGCAGCCTCTCGACTGGTTTGAGCGTTATAGCAAATAATGGGCTCACGCTCAGTGCCCTGAACAAAATCACGAAGGACAGCATTTAACTCGGCGGTCGTAACATGTTGTGAGGCACCACAGAAGTGGATATGGAACTCTTGCTTGAGGAGAAGACCGGGCAGGGATGTATTTTGCATGAGCATAACGAGAAATTTGTTATACTGCTTTGATTTGTTGCCTGAGACATCGTCGATCCACACTGTGACCCCCAGGACATAAGGATCGCGGTTTCCGCTCAGCTTTCGGCCAGCATTTGGCATTGGGGGGACAAATTCCTGTGAGTCGGGTGTCCAGATAAAGTCGGGACCGAACTCCATGATCAGATCATCGAAGTCAGCCTCGAATTGGGTGACATCAATCTCTTCCTCCTTGCCTCTGCACTCCCATACGCGCTGCTGAGCGTTTCGAGTTACAAGCTGGACATCGGCCGTCATCCTTCCGCGACGCAAGATCCATGCAGTGGGGATGACGAAGCGGCCATCGTGCAGGCGGGCGAGCTCGTTTGTCCACCAGCGGTGCTGACCGTTGGTGAACATTGGAGTCAGTTGCTCAGGCCTGTAGTCCAAGGCGCGTTCAGCCTGCCAACGCTCAGAAATGGGGCCGTTAACAACCTCCTCAGGGGTATAGGTTCAGATGTGGAGAAACGAGCGGATTTGCGAAGTTGCGGGAAATGGCACGACGGAGATTTGTGATGTAGAAAATGTTTCCCTGGGCGGAGACGATCTTCACTGGTGCGTTGTCAAATCCTTCGTGGACTCTCTTCTGAGTTTTGCGCAGAGTTTTCAAAGATGGCACATTTCGGACTCCCAGCCGCTTCATTATATGAAGAATCAATGTCATTTGGGCAGTCGTAAATCGACAACGAGCGAGATTATCCATCACATCGAGCAAAAGGGTCTGTTATAAGAATGATTTTGTCAGTGAGAAGTCCTGGAGGCAATTATAACTTGCCGTTTCGTTTGGCCATGGGAAGCAATCTGCAGTCTTGTCGGAAAAGCCTTGAAACTCGTCCATCTCATCCGTTTCGTCTTCCTGCTCAAACTCGGGATCTTCGTCTTTGCGAGGATGTTCTGGTTGATCAACAACGTTGGTGAGCTCGATGTTCGAAGCCCCGTATGCGCTGGCTATGCGGACGTTCTGAAGCTCGTCTTGCCGCTCCTTTTCGGCAAAACTGACTGCACAAGCATGGTGAGTCGCACTTTGAAGATGCTGCTTGAGACTTCGACGCTGAATATAGGTGCTTTTAGATTGGCCGTGGAAGTGGCACGCCCTGCACAATATGTGATTCGGGTCGGTGGGGTGGTCCTCGAGATATCTTTGTTCCTCTATCGCACGGTGAGCAGATTGCGCATGAGAAACCGCAGCTTGACTTACCCGGGGGCACAGTCCAGGTTTTTGTCTCGCCATTATCGTCCAAATTGACTGTGAGCTGCGCGTGACAGAACGCGTTTCCGTGATGCAATAAAAGCGCAAAGCTTGTCGTCGGTCACAACCAGTTTCTCTCATCCTGATCTTCCATGTCGACTCTCCTTGAACGCGGAAGAGCAAAACGCGCTGCCGCTACCGCCGCCGCCGCTCTCCTCACCAGTGATCCAGCTTCATCAACCAACCATCCAGATGAATCCTTGCCACCGTCGAGCCCTCCCATTCGAAGCCGATCGTCACCTGGGCCACAATCGGAGGACCAATTACCCCCTGTCTCCCAGTTGTTTTCGCGCCCTCTGGCTGTCCCCGATATGACCAGCTTCGCTGAGCATCAGCTCAAGCGTGTCAAGCTTACCACTGGCTCTGAGCGGGATTACCGACAGCTGAGTGCTGTATGTTATATATTTGTCGTGATTCGGGTGCTCAATATTGATTTCAGGTAACAAACCCTCACGAGTGGCAGAATCTCGAAGCCCTGGCTGTCTTCCAGCTTATCGACAAAGTCGACGAAATGAACGCTCATTTCAAGGCATCTAAAGCCCAAGAATTCGAAAGGAACTCGGAGCTCAGTGTGCGTTTTATGTGTTTGCGTCACGACATGGAAATTAAGCAGTGTGGCAGGGCGACATTCGGAACTTCAGTCGCGGATTTCTCATGAACCCAACCGTCGCGTTCTACAGTGCGGACAGCACCCTCAAGGTTCAAGTCATCGTGAGTCATTCCAAGTTTTGTATCTATTGCTCACATTGTTATCAGGACGCGATGTATAAGGAGAATATCAACGGCTTGCCACCAGCGAACTCCTCGAGTACTGTCAAGAAGAAGCTTGAAGCCCAAGTCGGCCACCAACTCTCTGTCGACAGGAACACAATCAAGGAATCGGTGTGTCCGTTTACCTGCATCACGATTGACTACCAACCAACGTGAGCGACAGCTTGCAGCTTCTCTGGAGACGGATGCCGAAACAACTGACCTCGGCTCCATCACCAGCGGCATTCTCACAAGCTGGAAGATGGAACTCCCACTGACGCTCCCCATGCTTTGGCGGATGGCAATGATCGTAAGTGTTCGCGGCTCCGATCAGCGTTCATATACTTACAGTGTTGCAGAGGAATCAACTGGTCGAAAACCCAGGGACTCCCGATGACTTCTGGCGGGGTATTGACAAAAGTCTGAATGAGTGCCGACAAGATGGACCGGGCACGCTCATATTGTAAGCATTGACATAATTTCTTGAAATCATTTCTTATTCCTCCTTAGCGCGTTGCAAGAGACATTTAAGACGGACATTACATCCTTCGGCAACTTGGCTCCCGACATTCAGCTGCAGGACGACATTGGTCCCCACAGCCCACCGTGGATCCAACGAATAAACAAGATGGCACCTAAGATTGACTGCCCAAAGATTGTGAACCTGAAGACCAAGGGGACGCGAAAGAGGAGCCGGAAGGCTATGGAGAATGACGAGGATCCAGAAGGCGATGGCGTGTAGTGTTTGTATTAGATAGCTTATAAAGACAGAATTAAGCTGGAAGGCTATAGAGAATGACGAAAAACCAGACAGTGATGGCATTAGTGTTTGTATTAGATAGCTTATGAGGACAGACTGCAGACTACATTCATAAGTTACTCACCCTGAATCATGAGCTTGTAAGGATATCCAAGTGTTCATTGCTGAACGTTGATAGGAGAGCTCTGATATCTTATACTTATCTAACCACTGATATTATTCTGATGATCCCAGTCCGATCAGCTGATGATCAACTGATTTGATTAATATATTCCCTGATGACATCCTCAAGGTCTTAGACTGATGTTTGGAGAGAACATCAGAGAATGTTTTTCACTGATATACTATTGACATCTTCTGGGATTGGTGGTGTATACCTATAGCTTCTGCATATGAATTATCACCTAATCTGACTTTTTGTGGTGGATCAAGAATTTTATAAGTTCCTGTTTCAAACCAGTCTAGATTTGGAGTCATAGTGGTTGAAGCACCAGAATCTATAATTATGGCCTCTTTTGCTTTCTCACTATCCTTAGCCAAATAAGCATGTAAGTCGGATGGAGCTCTCCATGCGGAAGCCTTCGGAGGGCCTTCGTGCGGCAGCATAAGTCGCAGGTCGCGACGTAGCGTCCGATATGGCGAGACATCTGCGGCCACCAGTAGTTGCGCGAAACCAACTCTAAGGTCTTGAACCGCCTGGCGTGTCCGGCGACTCGCGTATCGTGGCAGAGCTCGATGATGCGCCTCCTTAGGTCCTTGTCTTTAGGGACTACAACCTTGCCGCGGAAGTACAGGAGGTCGCCGGAGACGGCCCACTCGTCCGAACGTGATGAGCGGGGCCCCGAACTTGACCTCGGACCTTCAAGAGTTGCCGGGCCGCAAGCGCGACGGGCTCCTCTAGGTCAGGCTCACCGGATAGCGCTTCCTTGATGTCGCGGACAAGTTCGGACCCAGGCCCAGAGACGGTGACGGCCTCAAGCGCGCGAACGTGGAACAGTTCGGGGCGTAAGAGGGTGACATCCGAGTTGTCGTCGGAGATACCGTGGTCGGGCCGGCGAGAGAGAGCATCGGGACGGCCCATTTGGCGACCTGGGGACGTGGTGCAGCGTAAAGTCAAACCTGGAAAGGTACAACGACCATCGGGCTTGCCGACGGTTAAGGTGCTGTGCCTTTCGGAAATACTCCAAATTCTTATGGTCAGTCCAGATCTCGACCGGATCGCGGCGCCCTCGAGGAAATGCCGATACTCCTCGAGTGCGCGGATGATCGCGAGCATCTCCTTGTCGTGAATCTCGTAGTTGCGCTGGACATCATTTAAGCTTTTGGAATAGAACGCTACAGGGTGCCACTTCCCATCCGGGGCGGATTGTTGTGAAAGAACCGCCCCGTCGCATAATCTGAGCTGTCTGCTTCAAGTCGGAAAGGCCGGGAGTCGTCCGGGATCGCTAAGACGGGCTCTGAGACGACCGCGTCTTTGATAGCTTGAAAGGCGGCGGCTTGGCGTCTCCCCAGGCCCATTTCTGGTCTTTCTTGGTGAGCGCGAAGAGGGGTTGCGCTAGGGCCGAGAAATCCCGAATGAACCTGCGGTAGAAATTAGCAAACCCCAGGAACTGCTGGACGTCCTTCTTGTTCTCGGGCGGAGGCCATGCGGAGACTCCGGCAACCTTAACGGGATCCATTTCGACGTGGTTGTGAGAGATGATAACCCCCAGGTACTCGATTGACGATTTCTCAAGTCGCACTTCTCCTTGCGAAGGTACAGCTTGTGCATTCGGAGTCGCCGAAGGACTTCGCGGACGATCTCGCGGTGCTTACGGAGGTCCGAATGCGCGATAAGGATATCGTCGAGGTAGATCATGACGTCTCCTGAGAGAATGAGATCCTGGAAAATGTCATTCATCATCGTTTGGAAAGTCGGGGGAGTTCGTCAGGCCAAAATACATCACCAAAGGTTCGAACAACCCTCGGTTGGTCCGAAGGCCGCCTTCCACTCGTCTCCTTCTTTAATCCGGACGTTATTAAAGCCCCAGCGAACGTCGAGTTTGGTGAAGTAACGGGCGCCCTTAAGCCTGTTGATAAGGTCATTAATCAACGGGAGGGGGTACCGGTTCTTAATCGTCATTGCGTTGAGGGCGCGGTAGTCCTGGACAAACCGAAGTCCTCCGTCCTTTTTCTTAACGAAGAAGACGGGGGAAGCCATCGGAGATTTCGAAGGGCGGATACGGCCTGTGGCAAGTCCCTCCTCGATGAACTCGTCAAGTTGCGCTGTTCAAGGGGGAGATCGGATACACCTTGCAATTAGCGGGCTTGCGTCGGGAACGAGTTCGATAGCGTGGTCCCAAGCCCTCCGCTCTGGTAACGTGTCGAAGGACTCCTTGTCAAAGACGTCTTGGAACTCCTTGGCCCAGTCCGGAATCTCCGAAGGCGGGGGGGCCGAGTTACGGGCGAAGGCCTCTGCAAGGCGTTGGGACACGGTGCTCCCAGCGCGAATCTCCTCGATTGGGCGAAAGGAGGTGTAGAAGATGCGGTCGCCGTCTTCAAGATGCTCGTCGTCGTCAAGGTCTGGTGAGCGCTCCGGAGGGTCCGAAGGAGCTCCGAGTT